ATAAATAAATAAATAAATAAATATCTTCCTAGGAGTACCAACTACATTCACAGGCTTTCTCAATGCAACTCTAGACAAGTGCTCAGCTGGAAATAAAACAAGTGTTTTATTGCAAATATGAGGGGGGACATGATAGCAGTATTCCAATATCTCAGGGGCTGCCACAAAGAAGAGGGAGTCAAGCTATTTTCCAAGGCGCCTGAAGGCAGGACAAGAAGCAACAGATGGAAACTAATCAAGGAGAGAAGCAACCTAGAACTAAGGAGAAATTTCCTGACAGTTAGAACAATTAACCAGTGGAACAACCTGCCTCCAGAAGTGGTGAATGCTCCAACACTGGAAGTTTTTAAGAAGATACTGGACAGCTATTTGTCTGAAATGGTATAGGATTTCCTGCCTGAGCAGGGGGTTGGACTAGATGACCTCCAAGGTCCTTCCAACTTTATTATTATTATTATTATTATTATTATTATTATTATTATTATTATTATTATTATTATTATTATTATTATTATTATTATTATTATTATTATTATTATAAATTCAAAAGCCTATAAAGCCACAAAAATTAGTTTCTTTGGCTCTAAGATTCTGCTCATATATGTATATCCCTAAGTTTAAACCCTGAGTTTTATTCCCCCCACACATTCCTTTGTGGCAATTGCCTTGTCTTAGGTCTATTGTTTTCTGCCTTGAAAGCCCAACCATCTCATTTTCAGTCTATTAATATACCTATAGGTAAATTGTTCACAGAAAACACCCTCAGCTTAGTGAACATGCTGAATGTGAGCTATCTACAGCTATCCTTAGACAATGCTGTGCAGCAATGCTCTCTTTTCTACTTCAAACTTGCTAATAATGGTTGAGTTTCCAACACTCTTTTCCTTCAGATTCCAAAAAGGGAAATAAATAAGATCCCCTTCTGGAGGTTGGGTCATATACACTATTCTAAACCAGTGGTGTAAATTATACCCACACAAGTGCACATTGCTAAAAATGTATATTTGTGTGCATTTGTTATTTTGCAAAATATTTGGGAGAAAATGGTTTTTCAAAGAGCAAACCTTTGCAACAGAACCCTAAAAAAACATTCGTATATTTAAGATGCCAGATAAATCTTGCAGTGGATATTTTCCCTCCCTCACCCAGGAAATTCATTAAAATATTGCACGGACGTCAAACCGCAATGCTAACAAAATTGGCATGGAGCTGGCCTAGTGGAAACATGAGCTGAAAAGTCGTTTACAGAGACAATCTCTGTTGATAAGAGAGACTCACAGACTTCAGATCAACTTGCTGGAAATGAAGTTTTATCCATATGAAACCCATAAATGGTGCTGGATTTTTGAGGATTGTGAAGAAGAAACTTGCAACACATTGGCACTAATTTATAGGGACACGAAATCTAAGACAGCTTTCAGTAACTGAAATTAAAATAGTGTCATACAATAAGGAGTTATGCAGTAAAGACTTTGTGTGACAGGATTCAAAGAGACAAAAGAACAATCCAAACTAACAAAATTCACACAGCCCTAAAAAAAAAGAAGCTTCGGATAGCAGCATTCCACAGTTACTGTCTGCAAAAGACATCTCTAACTGTGAATTTTATGTCACAACTAAAGTAAAGTATACAGCTTACTTTTTAAAATCCTTTGCATAAGGTTATGGAAAATGCATATAAGGAGGGGAAATAGTTTGAAGGACAAGAAATTGGAAAATAGAAAAAAAAATCCAAAGAAGAAACCAAAAGAATAAGAAATCAGCTTATCAAACAAAGCATTTGCACTGAATTAAGGTAACTCCATAGTTACATGAAGTATGACAAAACTCTGAGAAAGCATCAGTGTGATCAAAGGCAAACAAGATCAAGACAATTCCAAGAAATAAATGAGACAGAGACAGAACTGAAGAAAAACAGGAAAAAATCAGAAATAGAAAAAGGGATGAGTGCAAAACTCATTATTTTATGTATACCACTTATTTTGAAACAAAATGCATACATATACCTACCATCCCACAAACACACAAACTTGCTTCTTTGTATGCATTTCTATTCTAATATATGTAAACAAATTTTGTATCTTTTATTATATGTGAATTCCTGTAGAATATATTATATAAACACATTTTAACATTCTGATAGATCATTGCATTCAGATTTTGCTCATAAAACATGAATTTTGATTTTTCTGAAATGACTTATATATTTTTAAAAAGATTACTTTGAGAGAACATACCGAAAGTTTAGTACACAAGTCCATGCCTATAAACCAGTGATGGCGAACCTTTTAGAGACCGAGTGCCCAAACTGCAACCCAAAGCCCATTTATTTATTGCCGGGTGCCAGGTGGGCGTGGCCCACTGGGTGGGCGTGGCTGTGGTGGTCATGGCAGACTGGGTGGGTGTGGCCAAAGTGGGCGTGGTCACCTTGATGTTGCTCATGGGGAGGGACGCCTGTGGGGGCCAGGCAGGGTTGGGGGAGATCCAGGGGGTCTCTGGCAGGTGAGGTGGTGGGTAGGAGGCTCGTCCTGCGGGGTAAGGCGAGGCAGGGTGAGGGTGCCATTATCTCAGGGCAAGACAAGGCAGGGGACGGGGCAACTGACACCATCAGTCCCCGCACACACAGGCCAGCGAGCGCATGGGGGCCGACAATGTCCGTCAGCAGCCACAGTCTGCTGGCCCCTCGACCGGCGCACTCTGGGGCTCCACAGCCTGCCACCAGCAGTTCAGAGAAGTGCCCACAGAGAGGGCTCTGAGTGCCACCTCTGGCACGCGTGCCATAGGTTCGCCACCACTGCTATAAACTATACATGTACACACCAAAAAGAAGGGAAAACATCAAGCATATATTTATTTTTCATTGTTCAAACTTCCAGAATGTCAATCTCCAAATTATTACTCAGGCTTTCAGCTTGTCTGGGCTAACCTAAGTTGAGTGGATAGGGGATCCATCTTTAGAAACCCAAAGTTAGGGACATAGAAAATTGGCTAGAAAATTGAAAACAAGAAGAGGTGGAATGGATAATGACAAAATACGTCAGTATTTCTACCAGCAAAACTACATAGAAATTTCATTAGGAAGTCACCAAGTGCTGGACTTGATTAGCAGGAGACATCAGAATGTCCTAAGCAACTGCTACTGTTTTCATAATGATGGGTGTGATTGGATGATCAATGTTGCATGTACTGCATACACATAAAAACTGAAAGGCTGTAATCATCCTATTTTGCCCACATTTTAAGCCAACGATTGCTGTAGTAGATATTTTTGGGATATATGACTTTACTTTGACATGAATCAGTTAATCAAACCTATGAAAGGCCATATTTACTAATAGCAACTATTTCAGGAGAATATACATTACGCTATTTTGTCATTTACAAAATAAATAACTTTTAGCTGGATGGTTAGAACAACACATTGAAAAATTCAACGTAGCTCCAATTCTTAGCAATGTGAATTTTCAGAATCCCACTCATTTGCTTTGTGTTTATAACTGTATGCTGTGAAAATGTATTATTTAAAGTTAGTAGCTATGCATTGAACAGGTCACAATCAGCTTTCCAGAACTCCAAAATTCCTGAAGACACCACTGTTTGAGAAAATATTCACCTTACTAGGAAACTGGAGTCTAAGCAAAATGGAATCACTAGATCCCGCTGTTCAGTTTCAAGCACCCAACATTATATGTGACACAGTGGAGTACCTAGCACAGTGATGGCAAACCTTTTAGAGACCGAGTGCCCAAACTGCAACCCAAAGCCCATTTATTTATTGCCGGGTGCCAGGTGGGCGTGGCCCACTGGGTGGGCGTGGCTGTGGTGGTCATGGCAGACTGGGTGGGTGTGGCCAAAGTGGGCGTGGTCACCTTGATGTTGCTCGTGGGGAGGGACGCCTGTGGGGGCCAGGCAGGGTTGGGGGAGATCCAGGGGGTCTCTGGCAAGTGAGGTGGTGGGTAGGAGGCTCGTCCTGCGGGGTAAGGCGAGGCAGGGTGAGGGTGCCATTATCTCAGGGCAAGACAAGGCAGGGGCCGGGGCAACTGACACCATCAGTCCCCGCACACACAGGCCAGCGAGCGCATGGGGGCCGACAATGTCCGTCAGCAGCCACAGTCTGCTGGCCCCTCGACCGGCGCACTCTGGGGCTCCACAGCCTGCCACCAGCAGTTCAGAGAAGTGCCCACAGAGAGGGCTCTGAGTGCCACCTCTGGCACGCGTGCCATAGGTTCGCCACCACTGGCCTAGCATATTTGACACTCAGAGAAGATCAGGGGGTTAAGTAGCAGCTGCAAGATCCAGACTTGCCTAACCGTACCACCACTAGCCCACCCTTATTTATCTCCATTTCTATGCCATGTCAAACAACTAGCCAGTGCACTGATACAACAAACTCCACAGATACTATTGATTTTTGTCCTCAGATAATATATCCCTGAGTTGCTTGCACGCAGGGCAGATTGCTCCCACTGCTTCAGGGACACAACATATAAGACAGCTTTTCAGTAACTGAAATTAAAATTGAACTATTGAATGGTAATTTTCTATATGAGTCTCGTTTCCTTTTCTTCTTCATGAATTCTCATAGATAAATCTGTGCTAGATGTTATCCAATACACATTTTTATAATACTATTTCTCCCATCATTCAAACATATGCATGTTGCAGTTCTGGTTTAACATATGCTACGTTTAAGTAACCAGAGTCCTGGCATATTAACTGCAAAATGTTTTATAAAAATAATGTGGTAAGATGAATGCAATATCTTCTTTGAGAAGTTATATGTTTGAATGAAGGTTTCAGATGCATAATATAGATTTCTCCATGGTATCAATACAATTTTTAAAAGGGGAAAAAAGCTGCTACTTACCAAATTCTTTAGGAACTGCAATGGAGTAAATGCAGTTATGTCCTATGCTATAGTTTTTAGGGTAGTTTGGTGATAAAACAGTTCCTTCAGAACCTGTGGAACGTATTCCACAAGGTGCTACAAAGTAAAAAACATTTTATTTCACAATATGATAGGAAAAAGTAGAATTAACAAATAAGCAAAATAAATAAAGTCTACCTTAAAAAATAAATCAATGGATTAAATCACATATTTCATGTAGATTTTTTTTTCACTTTCTGAATAAACAAACAAATAAGTCCTTTTAATTATTGCAATGCTATTGTCAGGTTTGATAGCCAGAACAAGGAATGCTCTTAGAATGCTTTACAGGTAATCTTCAACTTATGACTGTCATAACATTGAATGGTCATTAAACAAATGGTTGAAAGTCAATCTACTGTATTGACTTGTAAGTGTAGGTATTTAGCAGTATTTCTCAACCTTGGCAATTTTCAGATGGATAGAGGTCAACTCCCAGAATGCCCCAGTCAGCCACATTGGGGGTCTATGGAGAGACAGGATGGAGAGGTGAAGAGCAGGATAAAGACCAGGAAGTGGCATTACATCAGTGGTTCTCAACCTGTGGGTCGGGACCCCATTTGGGGTCGATCGACCATTTCATGGGGGTCGCCAAGCAAGGCTGTCCGCCATTTTTTTGTCCGCCATTTTTTTTGTCTGCCATTTTTCCCCCTTTTCCAGCGGGTGCCTTACCTCCCTTGGGCTGGGCCAGCTGGTGGTCGGCCTGCTCCATCTCTGCCGCTTGCCAGCTATACCTCGGCCGGCGCAGGGGGCGGAACTATGCATGCACGGTGCTCCCGGGCAGGGAAAGTCCTCGACTTACGACCGGTTGGGTAGTCCTCGACTTACAACCGGTTTAGTCCTCGACTTACGACCGGTTTAATCCTCGACTTACGACCGGTTGGGTAGTCCTCAACTTACAACCGGTTTAGTCCTCGACTTACAACCGGTTTAGTCCTCGACTTACGACCGGTTTAATCCTCGACTTACGACCGGTTTAGTCCTCGACTTACGACCGGTTGGGGTCGCGGCATTAAAAAGGTTGAGAACCACTGCATTACATCATCTAAAGCCTACTTGACTGCAAATGAATTCCACCATCCCATGAATTTGAATGAACACATATGGAGTATTTCTTTGCGGTGTTTGTTTATTCAATTTATTCCCAGATAATTTATTTCTATCAAATATTATGAAGGGTATATATCGAAAATATATATCATACTACAATTCTTTGTTGTTTAAAAATTATAGTGCTACAAAACTAGAAAATCAGTAGATATGAAATTCAGATTATGGAACGCATAAATATTGATTTATTTTCTTTTAATATCCATTACTAAATACATATTGAATAAAATGCTTAGAATTTAGATACATACAAGGTCATTTACATAAAATGTAAAATGAGGAAGAGACTAAGGAAAGCATTTTCATAAGCATGCATTTCTAAATGAAGTAAATTTGATATGCAAATTCGATTAGATTTTTCAACACAACGTCAGAGCAGTACTTTGTGTCAAATTACATATGGAATTTGCAATAAAATTGAACAATAATAAAGCTTTAATTACATTATCTAGTGGCTCAGTCTTATGTGAAAGTATCAATTTCAAATAAAGTTGAGCTCAGGAATATTTTAGCATAATACTTATTTTATTCCTAACTGCAGCAGAGAAGTTTAGCCAGCATAGATGGTACAATATTTTATTATGAACCTCAAAGTATAAATCTATGCAAATTGTCACTCAGTAACATTATTATTTAAAAAGCCTTGAAATAAATTGTCTTTAAATGTATTAAATAAACATATTTGCACATATGCTAATTCAGTGTTCTCTACTCCATTATGTTACAAGTATTTATTCTTGAAAATATGTACAAAACAGTAAGTATTCCTCATTAGACATAAAAAATATATCTACAAACTGCAAAGCACTTGTAGTTGCTAGTAATATGCTTTTTTAAAATATATTTTATTAATTTTTTACAATAACAATCTTTAGTGCTTGGTAAACAACGTATTGTCTGGGTTCATATATTTAACAACAATCAATAATAGTTAGTTTCTATGATTCCATAATCAACATACTAGTTAGTGACACATTTCCTTGATCTTCTCTTCTTCCAATAGTATTTTCCTTTTGCCAATTTTGAGTAAATACAATTCTTAGTACTTTAAATACATACAAAGTTAAATGTAAAGATTTTTTTCTAGTATTTATACAAATAACATTAACATGAGTGTATAACATCTTTTCTAATCAGCTTATGTTTCAGTTGTATTTGCAAAGAGTTTCTCATGGCTGGCTTAAAGTTGCCAATTTTGAAGATCCCTGGTGTAGAGATAACCTTTTTTATCCCATAGTGAAAGATTGTTCGTTTTCTGTAAATCTGGGAAAAGGTGATTTTGTAGTAGTAGTTGTTGTTCCTCTCTATTGAGCAAAGAGTTTAAAGCGAACTAAAGGGATATTTTACTCTATATCAGGTGTCTTCAAAATTGGCAACATTAAGCCAGCCATGAGAAATTCTGGAAGTTGAAGCCCACAAATCATAAAGTTACCAAGTTTGGAGATCCCTGCTCTGCACTATTCTACTGCTACAAGCAAATATTTATTCACTCCCATCACACTCTTAGTTCATCCACCCCTTTCATTAAACCCTAAAGAAAGTAGAAGGAAAGGATTTGATGGAATCCTTCATTTCCTGATAGATGCATCAGTTATCTGTCTTTGTACTCTTTGGATAATTTTGTATAGCAAAAGTTTGCATTCTTGTGCAAACACCAAAACACAAATGGTTTGGTTCAGACAAACTGTAAACAAGGGAGGACGAAAGGAGTAGATAGAAACCATTTTTGTAGGCACAGGTCCCTAATTCATATCTCAATATATACAATTGTGATTACTGTTGCAGTTGTTATTATTTGAGAAAAGATAAACTATGATGGTAAATTAATATAGTCTGTTTTGCATATTAACTATGCTCAAAGGGAAATCAAAAAATTTAGCCAGCATTCTTAAAAACAAGCTGACTTATTTCTTGATGTGGAAAACAAAATCAAAACTATATCAAATAACGTTTGATTTGACTTGGATTGGTAATAATTGTAACATATACCCACATAAAATATATACTTTACAATGAAAATGTATGCTTTGTTCTTGGATGATGAGTTATTATTCATATTTACAATGTTTTCTGCCTAAGAATGCCGTCCATAAGCATATTACTAGCAACTACAAGTGCTCTACAGTTTGCAGAGATATTTTTTTATAAGTCTAATGAGGAATACTTTCTGTTTTGTACATATTTGCAAGATAAATACTTGTCAGCCACTTCTGAGTGGTAGTCTCTCAAAGATAATTCTTCTTCTTTCTCAAAAATAAATAACATATGGTAGACTTAATTTTTAAAAAGGAAGAAAAATGTATGGCGTTTTTGCCTTTGGACTCAGCAAGAATTGCTAAATGATGTAAATTCTTCTTAGCATGAAATGGGTTTTCCACCACACTGAGCAATAAAGTACTAACTTATAAACAATAAATAATAGTTTCATGAAAGGTAAAACTTACATAGTGATTGAAAGTAAGTACACTTGTTGACACTGATAAAAAAATTACATGTTGTCTTTTGTCCTATGTGAAAAATATAATCTGCAAACCTTAATTACTTTGTTTTTAACAGCTATCATTAAATGTCAAATGATTCAGTATATTTACTTGGTTAATATTTGCATTCATTCATGATAGAATGAGACTATGGACTTCCTTCGTATGACTTTCGTATGAAAAAGGCTTCAAGGACATATAACATAAGGATATTAGCTAAAGGCAAAGTGGAGAAATGTTTAAAGTACATATGTTTCCTTTTTTGAGTCCTTAGTTTAATTTCAGGGGAAATACACTTTCTCAAAACTTTATGATAGGATATTGAATTGATGAAGATAATATTTGGTTTACTGTAAAACTGATGGATCATGATGATTCAAAGTGAGTAGATATCGTCATTGATTCCGGTCTAGAACCCATAGATTATTACTTGGATTCTTTGCAATTCAGCTGCATCTCCTGACCTGCTGATTTAATCAGGGCAATTCTGCCATGTGGAAACCTATTCTTTGTATTCAGAAGTAAAATGTCAGGTACTTACATAAAACTACAAATTCAGTGGCACCAGAATGTCACAGCACATAAGTCACAGACTTACAGATTTGCTTAGGAGCAGGCAGCAAAAACATCAACCCTTGTAAAATACATAAAATCTCATTTAATCCTATCAAAATGCTAAAAGATGATGGATTATCAAGTCTTGGCAATTCGGTCAAAGGACATGCCTTTCTTGCTTTCTGTATAATCACACACACAAAGAACAAGAAAATATGAGATATGTGACATTCTTGGTTCTCTCTTGGTTGTTGTTTGCACTGTGCAGTCAGATTCCACAGTTCAACCCTGAGCTATACATTATCTTCTATTGAAATCTGAAATATTTTATGAAATGGGGATAGGGCAAGTATAATCAAACCCCAGTCCAAGATAGCAGTCCAATAATTGTATTGCAATCCCTGAAAATGAGGCATGGTATATGAGCCATGGTGATGCAATGGTTAGAATGCAGTATTGCAGGCTAACTCACTGCTCACTGTCAGGAGTTCGATTCTGACCAGCTGAAGGTTGACTCAGCCTTCCATCCTTCCAAGGTTAGTAAAATGAGGACCCAGATTGTTGGGGGCAATATGCTGACTTTGTAAACTGCTTAGAGAGGGCTATAAAGCAGTATGAAGCAGTATGTAAGACTAAGTGCTATTGCTAAGTCCTATATAACAAAGAGTTAGGCCAATGTTCAGAGGCCCTAATGCAGGGGTATCAAACTGGCAGCCCACGGGCTGGATGAGTCATGTGCAGGCCACACCCATCCCGGCTCCACAAAGGCAAAAAAGTCACGATACATCACGTGACGCGACCGAGTTTGACACCTGTGCCCTAATGAATGAGTTCAATTAGTCTTTAGCATATAAGGCAAAGCCGCAATAAACAATTCCAGGATTTATTTTTTTCTCCGGAAAACAAATATAGAAAGCTTTCTATATTAGAGTTTTCAAGCCCCTAACCCACCTCATCCCACATTTCCATTAGTCTTCCTTTTATTAGTCTCAGCATGTCCTTGCAATATCCCTGGATATTTAACTCTTAATCCTGACAGTCTTCAACAGCTCATGATTTCCTCCAGAGAAATTGGTCTGGACTTTTGAGTCAGGCTTTTTGGGGATCATTGGCTCATCCTCATCTTCCAAGGAAAAGCCGTCAGAAGGGGCCATAGAACCCAAATCAATATCTCTGCAATGTTGCCTAGAGCTAGAAATAATTGCTGACCTCTTGCAATAAATTCACTAGAGTCTTTATTTCATAATAGTATTTTTGCTCTATAAGCAAAGCAATATGAATCACAAACTACAATCAATACCCTAATTTTAAAATAATAAATTAAAAACATGTAATTCCTACACCATCAGAACTTATATCAGTAAGCAATGCTGTGAAAATAAAAATGCTTCCTTCATAAAGGTCCAAAGAAAAAGAAGTGTTTTAAGGCCTTCTTAAAATCTCAGCTCATACCTTAATTGTAATTTAAAGGGAATCTAGTCCAAAGAATGTGAGTAAGAGAAAANAATAAAAGGTACTTTTGCATGGGAACTTTAAATCGTTCAATCTGTTTGTTTCCAAAATTAATCTCAGCAACCATTAAATGATTTTAAACTGACCTTCATAAACATAGTCCCTTTCCTGCCTAACATATACATAGATTTATAAAAAATGTTTGAATACCTAAGGTTGCTTCAGAACTTCAATCTTTTTGAGTTACAATATGTAATGAAATGATATGTAGTGTTTTTTTGTGTTCTGATAGATAATGAAATAATTGTAGGAGTTCAAGTAATCATCGTGGGCAGCATGTTGAAAAAGCTATTTAGATAGTTGGTACAATGGAAAATCCATTTCTTCAGGCTTCTTATGAAGGTAAAGTTCTGATGACTGACCAGTCTAAGTGCTATCTACTAAAAATGCTCTGATTAAATATAAAATTGCCTGAAGCCTAGTTTCATTGGATGACCAGCTTTAGAGTGTTTTGTGATGTAATAGTCTGAATTCCAGTGAGAACACTGACATTCAACTAATATCAGGGTTGTTGTTGTTTTTCAGAGAATATGTACAATTATTTTCTTAGTATCCGACCACTCTGTTCCATTGTTCCAGAGGACTGAATGGAAAAGAGGAGGAGAATACTTTGGTGCTGTATTCATTAGAACAACTCTGATGCAATCAATAACAGCATGTGTAAAGACCAAGCAAAGGCGAAAAACAACACTTCATATGAATATCTATGTAAGTCATACATTCATCATGCATCCATAAAAGCATCACTCTCATGGATGGATGGATGGATGGATGGATGGATGATAAAAATCTTCTCAAAATCTTACCATGGCAGGTAGGTAGGGCTCTGTTCCATCCAGGTCTTCCATCATCTCCCATGATACAAGTAAGTGTAGAGTATCCTTGAAGAACATAGCCAGCATCACAATAATATGTGACTGTTGATCCCAGTTTATAATCCATTCCAAGTCTTGTACCATTCATGATATTCCCAGGATCAAAGCATGACTCACGTAACTTGGCTTTAATTTGAGCAGAGGGAAAACAGTGCTGCTGTTAGAACACCACATTTAATTTGATGTACTGAATTTTTAAAATATGGCATGCCCATACAAGACAACCAGCAAAACAATTATAGGCATCATTTCTTTCTCAAAGTACATGTTATGCCATCAGGTAGTCCAAAATAATCTTTGCAAAGGAAGATGTCAAAAGCATCTTAAATCTTTATTTCCCTTGTGCTAAACAAGATTAAGATGCTCTAATGACTTCCTTTTCTCTCACCACCAATTTTGCTTCAAAACATAAAACAAAAACACAAAGTAATCAAAATTCTTATAAGGGATAGAGTGTTTCATTTTTTTCCCTTTCCCACCATTATTTTTTCCCTGCTATTTCTAACAGTTAGGTCTATGGGGCAGCATAAGGCTCAGACTTAAAGCAGAGAAACACTAAAAGCAGTGTTGTGTGCATGTCTCTTTTCTATGTGTGTTTTGAAGCTATAGACACATAGACAAGAGCCAGAGTTTGCAGCACAATGCTATAATACTGTAATATGCTTTTATTACAATAACAAAAACAGCCAGGTCCTAAGGATATCACTACACCATGCTTTTTTTAAAAAAAATCAAAGAGTTTTTTATAGGTAGTCCTTGCTTTATAAGTAGTTGCTTAAAGACTGTTTGAAGTTACAAGGGACCCATAAAAAGTACTTACGACCTAATTTCGGAGTTACAATGGCTGCAAACCCCACCCCCCACAATCATATAATCTTATTTTTGGTACTTAGGCATTGGCTCACATTTATGGTCATTTGCAGGGTCTTATGGTTATATGACCATAATTTTTAGCATATTTTGCCGGTTTCTGCTATTTATATCTAGTGTTGGGGCAAAAAATGCTGATTGGGTAAAACAGATTTGCTTAATGACCACTGCATTCACATAATGCTACAAAAAAAGTTCATAAAATAGTGCCCAGTTAGATGGTGACCCACTTAATGAGAGCAATAAATTATGACCATAATTCCAGGCTCAATTTGTCATAGGTTGAGGACTACTTATAACCATTTAACATGAGTACATAAGTAAACAACCATTTCACATAAAATAAGAATTAAACAAATCACAGATAAGGTAAAATAAAAAAATGGAGATAAGCAAAATGACATGACGCTTGACTTAATGCAAATAAGCACTGTAAAGTAAGTGAGTGTTTCAACATCTATGACCCACATTAACAACAGAGTTACAGTCACTCACCTTTATACTCCAAATGGAACCCAGTAAAACTAACAGATCCATCACTTCGAAAAGCCAGATGCATTGAGTTTGAACTGCTTTCTATTCTCTCTGGCAATTTGCTATCTTGAAAACTTCCAATTAATGCGCTATTGCTGTCTGGCCCATCATAGATATAGAGAAAGTCATAATTTGGTTCTATGCTGAAGCTGTAAAATATTTTAAAAAACATATCACATTAGATAAAAAAATTGCTTGTGTAATAATTTGTGTAGACCACTGTCATTATGGAAATAAGTCTTACGTATACTTAATACTTAGTCTTAGTCTTAGTCTTGTATTCACCATTGTTATTGGTTCTATTTTTAGTGTAACTATAAGCCTGAATTCAAACTATTAGATATAATTAGTGTCTTCTAAAGGTCAATATGCAGCAACCTTTTATTTACTTGGATATTTTAATAAGAAAGAACTCTTGTTGTACTAAAAGTACATTGAAATGCTTGTCAGTTTTTATTCTTTTATTTATAAATTGGATGTTTATCATTTGCATAATCTTTTGAATACTAGTTCAAGAGAACCGATGAGAACTATGTGGTTTAGATTTAGTTTTGAGAAAAATCTTGAGAAGAGTAACTTATTCCATCATCTTCAGCTCTTAAAGGAAAGTTGAGATATAAATTGAATAAAAAACCACATAACTTCCTTTGACTGTTTGGATAGAAATGTGGTTATACATTGATAAATAAATATTTTCTCCCCAAAATGCATTTTATTGTTTTGGTTTTTGGAGAGTAGAAAAGTAATATTTAAAGTGTCAGATAGAAAATTAAAACATGATTAATTTTTTCTTTCTTTCATAAAAAATATATGCATTTCTGAGCATCTTTTTAAGATCATCATTTGATCTCTCCTCTGTCATAAAATTTGCTGTGACCTTTTTGTTGACTTTTTTCTTACAAAAACACTTCACCCTTTTTATCCTTTGTAGAAGGTACTAGGTTAAAAGATTTGCTTTGTTTAATCTCCAACTTTATTTTAGATCTTGGACTATCTTTGAGAATTTGAACAAACAACATTTAATAACTAAGACACCACTGTTCACCTAAGCTTTGGTAATATGTAAATATGTGGTTTATAAAATGGACTCTTAATCTGACAATGACATTTCCCTTTAATTTCATACATTCATCTCTTCCAAAAGCTGTAAAGCTCTTTCAGTATATGAGCCAAAGATACAGATTGTCTGCATTAAACCTTTATGAGCTGGATTATGTAACTTTATAAATACTCAGCATGATTCATATTGCTCCCATCCTATTCACCTGTTCCTCTTCATTTGTTGGATACTTAAAAGTGCCATGTTATACATCAGCATGGCAATCATTTCAGTCTATCTTGCCATAATCCTGCCTGTTTTCAGGATCAGGCAAATGATTTTCTGCATCACTGTTCACCAGGAACAAACACCAGAAGCGTCTCATGCTACACAATAGGTAGTTCTCGACCTACAACCATTCATTTAGTGACCATTAGAAGTTACAACAGCACTGAAAAAAGTGACTTATGACCATTTTTCACACTTACAACCATTGTAGCATCCCCATGGTCATGTGACCAAAATTTGGCCATTTGGCAACTGGCATGTATTTAGGACGGTTGCAGTGTCCCAGGGTCATGTGATCACCTTTTGCAATCTTCTGACAAGCAAAGTCAATGGGGAAGCCAGATTTGTTTAACAATTGCTGTGATTCACTTAACAACTGTGGCAAGAAAGGCTGTAAAATGGGGCAAAACTTACTTAGCAAATGTCTTGCTTAGAAAATGAAAAATTGGGCTCAATTGTGATCATAAGTCAAGGACTGCCCTATATTCATGTCAATGTATTCTCTACCCTCTATACAACAACAATTATCAACTACAGTCTCTGCAGCATAACATTGGATACTGGGAGGTAGAATTACACACAACAATTATTATACAAGAGACAGAAACCAGAGGCACAAATTCTGTATTCACACCACTGATGCACTTCAGAAGAAAACAAGGGGGAGAAGGTTTCTCAGGAATCTGGCTGACCCAGTTCACTCCTAAAACTACAAATAGTGAATATGTCTTCTATTTCACTATATCTGTTTTACAAATAAATCTATATTACATTAATGTAGTAAATTGAACAATTATTAGAATAATGATTTGTCTGCATAACTGCAATAATGATGTGTCTGCATAATTGCTAGAATAATGAGGTAATGCATAACCACTGGGAAAATTCATTGGGAAAGTTCTGTGTCAGTAATATGTGGCAACCAAATGCGCTTTGCACATGGATACTTTGTATGTAGCAAAACCTTCCATTGTATGCCTGTGAGAAACGCTCCTAATGTATCACAGTGTATTATCATGTGTAGTCCCTTTGTTCCTGAAAGGAGGGTAGTATAAAAACTGAAGTCTAATCCCGCCCTCCTCGTTCAGA